ATAAAAATTGGGTCGCGTTCGGGCATGCGACGGGGTTGCGATGGGGGGTTCGCTACGGGTTGCGAATAGTTTTTGTGACGTGAGTTTAGCCTGAGGTTGCTGTGGTTGTTGTTGAACTGGAATCAATGTCCCCTCAGAAGTAAGCTGGTACTTGCCCGGTGTGTAGCCAGTGTTGTTCTGAGCACTGTTGCTGTTATTGTTGGTGTTGTTTGAGCTTCCCCAGTTGCTTCCTTGGCCATTCCCATGGTAGTTGTTTCCTCTTCTGTTGAAATGGCAATCTCCCCAGGAATACTCCCCATTGTGCTTCCTGCAGGGGGCTTCATTAATTTTCTTCCTCTTTTCCTTTTGCTCATTGTTAAGTCTTCTTTTTCCACTCTTTCCTTTGTGTTCCCTTGAATTGTTTGCTGCTCTCTTCCTTGATTGGATGTGTTCATACTCATCAGCTATTCCCTTTTGGTTAGTCGTGTACTGCACTATTTGCTCAATGGAATCATTGAGGATATCCTTTCCACAAAGGATGTAATAATTTTGCCAGGGCTTAGGGAAGGACCTGAAAAGGATCTGCTTTGTCTCTCTATCAGAAAGTGGTCGTTGGATGCCATGAATAAGGTTAACTCGGGTGCAACAGGTCTCAATTCTATCAGCATGAGCTTGGCAGGTGCTTGACTGAGGCTTGGGGATAGCATCTGAGAGTAAATAATTAATAACTTCATCATAAGCTTGTTTTTATGGCGCATAGAATTTTCTGAAGGTAATGAGTGCTGTCTTCCACTGATCCTTATTGGTTCTTCCTAATTACAGGCCATTGTTGCCTCCCCACATGCTGTTCCATTTTTGTCTGGTTTTGTGTGATAGGACCATCTATCACTTCTGGTCTATTTGCTCATCCATTAATTCTAAATCCAATATTGCATCTTCAAAGTCTTCCTCAATGTAGAACAATTCCTGCAATCCATGTTGCTCCTTGTCAATTTCTTCAGTGGGGCTGTAACCTGGAATGTTCTTCCCCTAGTTTCTGTTTGTGCTGGATGGTTCACTCCTGAGATGGTAACTGTCCTGCCAGTTGATGTGCTTGAATCTGTGAAGGGAATGGTTGTTGGTGAAGTTGTTGGTGAACTTGAAGCAGTGTAAGAGAAATCCATTCTTGGAATTGATTTTGATTTCAATTCTATTCCATGTTAATAACTAGTGCCCGGAAATCAATTTTGTTTTGCCGATCTGAATTCTCAAAACAATTCTCAAAACAGTTTCCATCAAGACAATGTCAAGAGAAATCTGTTCATCAAATTGATCCCAATTTAGTTTTTTCATGTCAAATAGCAGTCTCCGGATATCGATTTTGTTTCGCCGATCCAAATTCTCTCAAGAGAATGAGAGAAATCTGTTCTTGGAATCAATTCCGATTTCAATTATATTCCATGTTAATAACAAGTGTTTGGAAATCAATGTTGTTTCACCGATTCGAATTCTAAAAAAGTGAGCTCGGAAAAGCTCCAAAATAGGAAATATTTTGATATAAAATAGTTCCTTTTTGGTGCTACGTGGAACTAAGTGACAGCTTTATGTTCCGGGTGTAAAATAAGACTATTGTTCCACACATAGAGGACCGACCGTAGAGGACCGTAGAATTACTAATACTGGTAAAAAGCTGTCACGTCTTACTACGCGTTTCATAACAATTGAAATCGGCCTCAAAAGAGAGCAAAAAGTCAAGTTCTTAACTTCAATTTGAAGTTATGAACTTTTGCTCGTACATCATGTACCAGGTTCTACTGAGCTAGTTTTTTAAAATGACTGCTGAATGGCTGAATGGATTCCCGGGGCCCCTCAAAACAAAAAAAATGGTTCAGGGCGATTAAAAATGGTTTGAGCTGATTCAATCATGAATCAATCATGAATGCCATCCAAAAACTAGCTCAGTAGAACTTTGTAGACTTTCTACCAGGACATTTGAAGTTCATAACTTCAAACCGAAGTTAAGAACTTGAAATTATTACTTTTTGCTCTCTTTTGAGGCCGATTTCAATTGTTATGAAACGCGTAGTATTTTGCACCCAAACTCCTACGTACTACTGTATACTTGTACACGAAACGTCTGGCTTCGTCTTTCTGTCAAATCACTGGCACCTTCGGAGGCCGAGAATATCAAGTACGTACGGTAGGTACTGTAATACAATACACAAATTAACAAAGTACTGTACAGCAGGATAAATTCTACAAACTGATGGGAATCACCCATTGTTCAGCCAATCATTTCTTGAATGTGAAAAAAGTACTAAAAATATCAAGACACTTGATGGTTCCATTAGTGCCCAAGATTGATCATAAATGGCAAGTTATTGGCAATCCCCGCCGTACAAATACTAATAGAAATTTTTAGCTCATTTTTACAGTTCAAACCAGTTAAAAAAGGCATCCAATGGACAAAAATAAAAATATTTCCATTGTTTAATTTCTCGCTAGTCCCAAAATATTTCTATTGGTGGTCCTTAATATTCGAGATAAGCACTGATTTGATATTCCCACTAGTAAGGACCAGGAATAGAAATATTTTTGGACTGTGGTTGGGGGGAGAGGGGAAATAGAGACGGGAAAATGAGAAAAATTAACGTACGGTACGGTACGGAAATTGCCAAGAATAACTTGCCGTTATGGGGCCCGTACTTAGTAGCTCTAGATCATAAGATGAAGATGACAATAGAATAAGGCTATATCTATTTTTTGCGAGTTTAATTCTTAGTTCAAAGCCCTCTACGTATTGTCCATGAGGACTCCTAATGTCAAGCGCAATAAAGTCATGTACTTGGCAATTCCCCGGGTGTCAATTTTTTATTTTCCCGTCTTTATTTCTCCTCTCCCCCTCCTCCACCAGGAAAAAAAAGTACAAGTCCGAAAATATTTCTATTCCTGGTGCTTACTACTGGGAATATCAAATCAGTGCTTATCTCAAGTATTAAGGACCACTAATAGAAATATTTTGGGACTAGCAAGAAATTAAACAATGGAAATATTTTTATTTTTGTCCATTGGATGCCTTTTTTTAACTGAAAAATGAGCTAAAAATTTCTGTTAGTATTTGTACGGGGATTGCCAAGTACTTGACTTTAGTGCGCTTGACATTAGGAGTCCTCTTGCCCATACTTTTAATTGTCATGACATTCTATGATTGCGGAATATGGAAGCTGAAGATATCACAGAATGACTACGATTGGTCAGAAGGTGATCAATAGTTCCGAAGTTCTCGAGGCATGCACGTATTTAAAGTCCAAAATTATCATGACATTCTCTTGAAGAACACACAAGTTCGGAAGGACGCTGAAAATGTTAGAGCATGGAGGGACTAGTCAGAGGATATGAGATATGATTTTGACCTCGCACGAAATACAGTTTTTCATTCTGTACTACCGATGCGAGTACCAATTGACAACGCTTAACGATGTGTCGTTTAGCATCCAATTTGCCCTCGAAAGAATCAAGGGAGTAAAGACACAGCGAAGATTTTTTCTGCCATAATTTCGATAGAACAATACCAAAAAATTGTTCATTCTGCAAAACAAATAGTTGCTCTCACTCATCTTGTTTCTCGGTAAGTATTCTTTCATCGGTGGGAGGATTTCAACTCTGCCATTTGCCTTTCCACTGCAATCGCTGACGAGCGATCTTCGTATAATCAACTGTCACGTTCCTTAGGATCTATTTCTTATCATGAGCACGGATCTAGGCACTACCCAGGGCGCGCCGCCAGAATCGCCCGATACTGGATCGCCCGATGTCGAGTCACCCGATATCGAATCACCCGATGTCGATTCGCCCGATGCCAAATCTAGCGAAGTTGTTGAATCAGAAGTCGACCGCCTTGCTGATCTAATTACTAGCGAAGCCTTCGCCAAGGCATTCGATCTAGCAGTCCAAAAGAAGATCGAGACTTCTTTGAAAAGCGACGATTTGAAAAGTGATGTTGAAGTCAACAAGCCGTTCGAACTGCTTTACAACCTTAAGAAGGAAAAGGAGGAGGAAGAAGAGGAGAAGAAATATCCAAAAGACTGCTACACTTTCATTGCTCGAGGACCGAATAATGGGGGAGGAAAAGCTTTCTGTCTTGGAATAATGGTTTTCTTGTTCCAAGTCAGTCTCCTTGCTCTCATGCTTCTTAGCAAATGTTGGGGTTGGGTGAGCCAAAATGAAGATGTTGACAACCCAAACCAGGAAAAAGATATGTTTGCAACTTTTCTCCATTCAAATGCAAGCGTTTTGGTTCGCATTACACAAGTTGTCTCAACTTTTGCCTTTTTCATTTTTGGAGGCGAGAGCTTGTCTGATTTTTCAACAGCAGTGCTGCATTTTCCAGGATTCTCTGAAAAAGATAGTAAATGGCCAATATTTGCCTGCATTCTTCGTGGATTACAGGGTCTCTTGGGCTGCGCGACAGCAATGCTATTGGTTGTGACGTCAACTGATGTGATCGATATCGTGTTGAACTTCACAGCTGTGCATTTCATTTCGTCTTTTGATAACATGGCGTACGAGCTTTCAAAGGATGGACTTTATAATGTCTCTTTGCAGGAAGCGACGAAAAAGATTGAAGAATTTGAGCTGCCAGGAAGATGCCAGCGAGAGACCGCAGGGAAAGCCAAAATTTACTTTATTATCGTCATCGCGTTGGCTGTAATTTTCCTCGTCTCTCTTTTCGTGCTTGTTATTGTTGGAGAAGAGCACGATGTATGGGCGACACATTTATTCCGGGTAGAGTTTGACGACTCAACTGGTCTAGAGAATTACAGTGGGTGCTACAAATTTGATGGAGACACACATGACAGAAGATTCCAATATGAAAGGCTGATGCCAGCGGACGAATTCAACGAGGACGTAACTTACGCGGCTAGAGCCGAGTATTGCAAGGATAAACGCAAATGGATCTTTCACACATGCGAGTTAGAACCTGATTTCGAACTTGCAATCTCTTCGCAGACGCTCACCTTTGATATTTCGACTTCCTTTGACAGCGGTTGGGTCTCTTCTGGCAACAAACCCCTGGATATGTATTTCATGGACAATGACAACAATTCTAGAGAAAGGGAAGATTTGGCTTGCGATATCAAGGTAGGGGATGGAAGCTGTGATGAAAAATTGAATACGCGTCAATTCGGATACGACGGTGGCGATTGCTGTCCAGCAGAATTGACTGGTGATGTGAAAGTTCCATCAAATGCAACAATCCAAACATTTGTCATCGGTAAGATGGATGAGAAGTTTGTATCAGATGACGGAAAGTATAGCTGCAAGCAAGATGTCCTCAGTCTTCCCCAAAAAGGACTAACAGGAGAAATCCCAACGGAAATTGGAAAATTTACTGTAATGAGCTCTCTGGCAAAATTCCAACTGAAATAGGGGATATGAAATCACTGAGAGTTATTTACTTGTCCAACAACGCACTAAGTGAGGCAATTCCAATGGAGATTGGAAAGTTGGAGCATCTCACTACACTGTCTGTTTGTGAGTTTCATTGAACTGTGCGAGGGTTATCCTTGGTACTATGTCTTGCTGGATAGTCAAACATTTGGTCTCACAACTTTTATGCATTTGTAGGGGAAAACCAGCTCACAGGCACAATTCCAACTGAAATTGGATTGATGACAAACCTGAGGATTATCTCCTTGAGTAAGTCTCTTAAGTGTCTCAAAAGTCCAGAATGTATGTTGCAATCATCAACTCACCACCTTGTTCACTGACTCCATGTAATGCTGTTTTAGGCAAAAACCAGCTGAAAAGTCCTATTCCATCAGTGATTGGACTTCTGACCAATCTCAAAGAATTGTCTCTCTGTGAGTTTCATTCATCTGTACAGGGCTATCTTTTGTTATTGATATTGTGGTCACATTCCCATTATTTGGTCTCACAACTTTTATGCATTTGTAGGGGAAAACCAGCTCACAGGCACAATTCCAACTGAAATTGGATTAATGACAAACCTGAATTGGATCTACATGGGTAAGTCTCTCAAGAGTCTGGAAAAGCCAGAATGTATGTTGCAATCATCGACTCACCACCTTGTTCACTGACTCCGTGTACTGTTGTTTTAGACAAAAACCAGCTGACAGGTACTATTCCATCAGTGATTGGACTTTTGACCAATCTCAATAAATTGTCTCTCTGTGAGTTTCATTCATCTGTATAGGGCTATCTTTTGTTATTGGTATTGTGGTCACACTAACATTATTTGGTCTCACAATTTTTATGCATTTGTAGTCAAAAACCAGCTCACAGGCACAATTCCAACTGAAATTGGAAACTTGAAAAAGCTAAGAAAGCTTCATCTTTGTGAGTACTTTCTATTCTTGCCATGTTTTTCTTCGTTTGATAATCTGCGGCACATTCCAAACCTCAACCTGAATTCTACGCACGCTTTCTCCTACACTCTGCAGACGAAAATGATTTGACCGGACAAGTTCCATGCGAGGTGAAACTCTTGATCGATGAAAACCCCGGAATATTGAACGACGATCAATGTGAGTTCTCCATTGTTTGCTGTTCTGTTTTCTTGCTCTCAAGCATGTGATCTAACACCCATCCGTTTCTCGTATTCTTGAAAGTTGTCCAAAATGATGGAGATAACCTTGGTTATCCGGCTTGTGCTTAAACACCACGATGGTTCTCGGCATGGCGTTGTTCCACGACCACGTTCTATGACGACGTTGTTTAAGATGTTATTTGTTTCGGAGGTTCCTGTCTTTGTGGACAGGTGCCTTCATCGTGTACTGCAAGACCCACTTGCCTTAGCGTGCGGGTGGGTGTCCATTATTACATATTCTTTCTACCTTAGTGCGGGTCCTGTTGATAATGTGGAAAGGTGTCCCGTGGTGTGTTGTTTCAAGCCCGCCTGCCTTTCGGACTGGAGTCCACTACGAGATACGCTATCTACCATAGGAGACCCTATTTAGTAAATTCTTAGTTATGCATATCTGAAATTTTTGATTGCGAATAGTGATTTGAAACGATCGGATTGCAAAGTCGTGATTTCCGTTGCGAATGCTTTTCGCTCGCAACCAAAGCACTGATCGTCGGCATTTTCGTATTATTTGACAATGGGGTTCTACCGGTAAAATAGTCCTTTGTCGAGCGATCGGGATCGGTTGGATACGACGAAGGGGTTGCCTGTCGGAAGCAGTGGCACGGACCGATCGCGTCTCGGGATCACACCGAGGTGCGGCTCCGATTGGGCTGTCTTGTCGGTGAAGATTTTTTGGAAGGAGAACCGTCCGTGGCCTACAACCCCGTCGCTCTGGACGGAGCCGCTGGGGACCGTCCGAACGATGGCATCGCTTGGGGCGCCTTCGGGCGAAAGGAAAGGTTCCCGGCAAAGATGGGGGTCGAAAGGCTTCCCAAAAGGTCGTTTCCGACCAACCCGTGGTTGTTGCGTGCGTCTATGCCCGTCCGTCGAATTGGGACGACACCCGTGGGTTTCTTCGTGACCGACGAGATTTGATCCGAATTCGATGCCAGTTGGAGGAATGGCTTCCGACGAAATTGTTGTTCGGGGTGGTGGCGTCAAGCATGCCGCAAGGTTCCCGATTCCTCCAGCAACAGCCAAGAACATTTTGAGTGGGACAAGAAGACCTCCGAGACGGCCGCAAGAGCTGGAGGTTGACCGGCTTGTTTTGCGAGGCCGGAACAGTTTCATCGATTTCGTTTCTACCAAGTAGATGGATTCCGAAAGGACGGCAAAGGCATTGGACAACCAGCGAGACTAGCCACGGTGTGGTGCCATGTCATGGAGATCGAATTGCGGAAAAGAAGCGAACAAATATTCCTGGATTTGCTTTGACTCTATCGTAGGGATCGTGGATCGTGTCTAATCGTGACAAGGCCTCTGTGTCGTAATATTTTTTTGTCCTGAATAGATGCAGTTTCCTCCATCGTATCACCATCCGATTCATTGGGGCGGTTTGCGGAGTTGATTCATTCTTGTCCCCGCAGAAAGTTTTCGAATCCCTTTCGACCTTCCACGATACCACCAGGAGGATGCTCTTCGCCGATTGCTTGCCTGTGGGGAGTCATTTGTTGGAATCAAATCGAATCTGGGAGCGTTTGCTCGCGCACGGTACCCAATGGAGCAACCGCTCGTTTCGATCGACGCGTTTGTTTCGTGCTTGCGAGTGGAGCGACGTTCCGCTAAGCGCAGTTGTTCCGAACTGCTGTTAGCCCGAGTTATGGTAGCCTTGTCTTTCCTTCTTCTAATACTGTATTGCTCTTTGACTGGGCCCTCCGGAACCCACGCGCACGCGTAAATAAAAACATCAGGGGCATGATTTCGTGGATTTGACTAATGTGATTAGATCTACATGTAGTAAAATGTGTGATGGTCTTGGGTTTACGGTTGGCGTATTGACGCTGTTGACCTATTACTGTTTTGCAACAGGTTTTTCTCCTGTGTTAAAGGGTGGGGAAGGGGGTGAATTTTCCTGTTTCACATCATGTCTCATCCTACCGTGGCAGTCCTTCACTGCAATACTTTCGAGAATGAGGCCAAGGCGCAGGCTTGTTGAGGAGGTGGCGGGAGGCTATCGTATTTGCGGGGTATCCAACTTTTCACAGTGGCTATTTGCCTATTTTGGTCTTTGCATTGGTCTTGTTGTTGATGGTGTTTTGCTGTTAATGTGCTGGACCAATTTTCTAACATAAAAAATAGTGATTAATTTACGTATGTTAATGACTAAAATACTTAGTAATATCCTTGGTTCTCCGTCAACCCAGATGACTGTAAATTTGTGGGTTATTTGTGGGTTATTTCATGGGTTATTTGTGGGTTCCTGGATTCTTTTGTGGGTTACTTTCCAAATTAAAAAACCAGGTTTTAGAAACTTGGGTTATTTTTCCCATGAAATAATCCACAATTCTAAAGGATCCTTGGGATCTAGTAGGGGATGGCAGACGGGCCGTGGCAGGTCAGTTTGTGTGGCTGTGGAGGCTCTGTTTAGCCAGGGTCTGTCTGTCCATGTGTCAGTCTAGCATTGTTGGGGTGACGGCTGGGTGGGGGAGTGAATGTGTGCTTCCCTGATGGTGTGGGAGGCTCCCTCGATCCTGGCTCGCATTACGGCGCATAAATTAGAATTGTCACATCTGTTGGTGGCAAGTGGTGTTGTCCGTAGGATATCAGACCGTGGGTATGATTCATACATACGACACGTACATAC